AAAAAATAAAATGTATTCCTAAAAAAATTATTAAATTTGATAGGTATCGCGATTTATCATACGTTATAAACGATATCGGTGTCAAAAATGTGGTAGGCCCATTACTACTGATTTTCGTGTGAAAAAATTACACTGAGTGTAAAATAATAGTTTCTGTTTCATAAGATGGATTAAATTTGTATACATTAGATAGGTAAACCTAGAAACGACTTCCTAATTATAGATCGATTCACATGAAATAGATGTTTATTTATTGAAAAAATTCAATAACACTATCATAATTTTTCTGTTACACCGTGTTACATTGTTATTATCGGTGATTAAAGTAGCATCATATCAGCCACGCGAAAGAGAAAAACAATCTATCTAGGTAAGATTAAACAAATCGCGATACGAGGATGCAGATCAACTTCATGATATGACGAACGTTAAGTTGCTTTCAGACAACACTGCATGAATATGAATATAAATAATTGAGCATGCACTCGAACGACAAATGATTTTTTTTTTTTTTTTAAACCATCTATACACCCCTTTCCCGTACGTGTAGGCGTACTTTAACTTACGCAGCAATCAATAACGTTGTTATGCACGGGTATTATTTGATACACATTATGTGTATTTATATAGTAGTACACAAAATATTCTGTAGGTTGTGGGATATGAAGTATCCAAAGTATTTGTGAAATATTCTGTGGGATGGTTTTAATATAATCATAAAGTATATTTTCATAGTTAAAACAATTTAAATTGTAATATACTGAGTGGTGATGGCTGATAGGTTAAAGTGGCAGTGGCGATTAGCTCGACGACGGCGATCTGCGCAGGATCTTGTTAAACATTTAGCCGTGTGCGTTTCCCCGTCTGTCCCTTCAACAAATTTATTTCGCAAACAATAGCCGCATAATTCTTAGTAAATCTAACTTGTTAGTTTGTGCTATCAGTCTATAGAGATTCGGGAGAAATTGGCAAAAGTTCGCCATTTTACTAGCCCTAAACTCGGTAAAAATCCGAGTTAATTATTGGTTAAATAAATAAATAACGAAAATTTGAATTTGTTCTGTCACCGGAGGAGAACAGAATTAAATTAAATGAATTGTTTAGTCTTTTTAAACGATGAATTTATTTTTACAAAACACGGATTTCACACAAATTCTGAAATGTATTGTATAAATGTAGGTACATAAACTGCACTGTAATTACCACTAATTATTCAAAAAAATATAACATACAAATGTTTGTTTTAGTGAATAGAGGGTTGGAGAAACTTATTTTTCCATTATTTTAACAGTGAGTGTGTGAGCCTTGTGTTATGATACAAAAATATCTATATACTTTAATCCATTTTATTTGACCCAGAAGTACACAAGCCATATATTATTTTATGCTATAGTAATTTAAAAATATTTTGTACTGGTTCATGTTCTCCTGTGTAAACAATTTAATAAAAAAAATATTGAATTCCAGCAAAAAAAATACTGTAAAATATATTGAATTGCTGTGGCAACTTATAATTAAATTTTGTTGAAACAAAAAAAAAAAGAAATTTTCTACCTAGGTTTGATAATTTTAAGTATAAAAAAGTTTTCACGAATTTCAAACTACAAAATTAGTTAGTAAATGTTTGCAATTTTGACGAATTTGAAAATTGAAAAAATTCTAATTTCAGATTTATATATGAAAATAAATATTTCTATATATTTTAAATATTTTAATAGAGATATAAGAATAACTTTTATAGAATTTTATATTAAATTATCGTGAATTTAGTCTCAGCAAATCATTTTTTTATTGATATTTATGGAAAAAAATTTAAAAAATTTGAAAATTTCTCATACCTTTTAATAACTCAAAAAAAGTTTAAAAATGTTGAAAAACTTTTTGTTCGGTATAATAAAAGTTATAGTATTAACATTTGGTGAATGTTTTAGGTATCTATTGTAGTTTTTTTTTTAAATACAATAAAATATCAAAAATTTTTCACATACAAATCATTATTTTATGTGTGTATATCAAATGACGTAAATATTTGACTTGAAATATTCATAAAACATTAACTTCACGTTCTGGTAGAATTTTTTTTCGTATATAGGTTGAAAATTTATATAAAAAAAAAAAATAATTTAAAGAATTTCTATTTACAAAATAATTTACTAATTTTTTCAAAATTTTAAATTTAATTGTTTATAAAAAAATATTGTGTCTGTAGATTTTCAACATTTTTTAATTGAAAAATTAAAATTTTACGAAGAGTTTCGCAATAAATTTTCAAACATTTGTTCTCTGTAAAATTTTTAATCGATATTTATAAAAAGGAAACTAAAAAAAATTTTCTTATGCCGATAAATATCTTAAAAATAGTCAAAATATTTTGAATATTTGTTCAAAAATAAAAATATTACTATTTGGAGAAAATTTCAAGTTTACGGTTATTTATTTTTGAGTTACATAAAAAAAAAAAAAAACGAAAATTGATCTTGTCGAGTATTGAATTCGCGTAAAAAATTCCATTTTTACTTAATTTTTTATTTGTTTTTCCCATTTATAAAAATAAATACTGACAATTTTTGAAGTTTGGCCTCTTCATTTTACACACTAAATTTAATTTTATATTCAAAAGCATCCCATTTTTAAAAATCGAAATATTTCATAGACAACTTATCGTGTACTCATACAAAATAAAAAACACATCCTGATAAAATCAATATATTCATTGTTCCGCTCAGAATCTATATAATGTTAGTTTATTTTGGTCCATACAAATTAATTTAGCAAAGTAATTATAAAATTATCGTTAGTATTTATCATTAATAGAATAGTTTTGTTTATCGATATGTTATTTGTAACAAACTATGAATTAAAAAAAAAAAAAAGGCCTACATAATATATCTATCTAGTACCTACAATGTTACTGTATTATACACGAGTTCTACTTGCCTACCTAGTATAATAATTATAGTTTATGTTACATTATTTTATGCAACATTTAACGATGACACATGTCAACCGTTTTAACACTTTAACATATTTCATTACAACCCGCCATAAAAATATTGAAACTTTTTTTGATGATTCCGTTGAACGTCTCTTGATACAAGATAAAACTGATATGTTTTCATCGTAACTTTTGAATATCATTTGTCAGTGTTTTCACCGTACAGTGTACATTGATATTTATAAATAATTCTTGTATATACACTACACCTACACCTACGTACGAGTTTTCACAAAAGCACGTTTGCTTATAATAACTTATATAAATATTTACGAATAGTTCATCAATTATAATGCACGAAATCATGTCGTAACTCGTGAGTAAACAGATCCCGCTTTGACTGTACCTAATAATAATCGTTGCAACAAGTCAGATTATGTAGTAATGCAAAAATTGGGCGTTGGAAACCATTTATCAGTTTACCTGCCAATATCGGTTTTTATATGTTTGGCGTTGTATAAGGTAGATTTTCGACATATAACTATAAATTCAGAATTACCATAACAGTTTGTGACTTTTAATGCGCATATACGTATGGACGACAAATTTTAGTTAATTAATATGTTAACATAATATATACGAAAATATGTTTTAATGGACAGCGATAAAAATTTATATAACTACGGCTAATCAACGTTTTTACGGTACCTACCTACTCATATAATATGTATAACTCGAATGCGAAATGGAATATGTGTTTTGTAACTGCAATATTGACAATTAATTTTTACTGCCGTTTCGATTTTGGCGGCAATAAAAGTTTCTTGTTTCGAAGTGCATATTTATTTCGATAGCCTATCGAATTTATATCACTACACGTGTCGCGTTTTTGCAGTGTTTAGTTGAACCACGTCGTGTTAATATCCTCCCACGTTTGTATATAAAATATTATTATTAGCCGATTTAATAACCTATTGCGTGGAACTTAATGCACTGGATTCACACAAGTTACAATGGTATTGCATAACACATCTCTTCTGATTAATATAATAAGCGAACCAACGCCACATACGTGACCCACCCACCCATATACGAGTGATCGGAGGTGGAATATTATCGTTAATAGTTTAAGATTCTCAGCGTGAGCAATTTAAAGCACGTTCGCTATAACATAATAATAGAGTGTATAGACATGGATTTTTCATCGTTTTCGCATTTTTCTCTCTCTATATATGCTACGAAATGCTTATCTAAAAATTAAAATAATTTACTACACTATAAAACTGGTTTAGGTTAATATGTAATTTTTATTTCGTACTTTAATATGAATTGCTTATAAATTTAAGATATTTTTGCAGTTTAGTATATAAGTATTAAATACATAGATAAGTAAATTTTGTACTATGACGATAAAAAAAATAAATATACAGGTATATATACTCTTACCTTGTACATTTGTATATTAATTTATCTTGAAAATAAATTTAACGAGAAATATAAAAATCAGTTAATAATTGACAATTACTTACTACGTTTGATGGCGAAAAAGTATGACAGTTTGTCAATGTGTTTTCAACTATAAAATACAAAATATCAAACAAACCCTAAACGTCTAAACTAGTATGACTTTTTCTGGTAATTTTTCGAGATTAATTTAGTTTAAAGTTTTCAAGGCGTTTTCAAGGATATTTCTTGTTTAAAAGCTTAGAATGAAATGGGTACTTGACGATGTTTCAAGCGCGGAGTGACATCGAAAGAGTCCCTGGCACAAGCTCATGTATCATAGCTTTTGGGCTAGAGCGATTTTAAGCCATACGAATAACATTTATTGTGTATGTTTTACGGTATATTACGTTACAAAACGTCGAGATTTTCCACGGCTCTTTTCAAATCTCAAGTTCTCAGTTACAATTGGTCCAGACCGTTGCACTCGGAATTAATTTTCGTTTAACTGAATCGAGTTTTTTTTTTTTTTTTTGTTCGCATTTTATCGTGTGGTCGCGATTTACAATATTATAGTACTGTGACCATTAATGTTATTCGTTGAGCTACCGTGGTGACTTACTTGCAAACATTTTTTGCTCGCCGTACCGGACGACCGCGCGGTTCCGGTTGAGCATCTTGTAGCCCAGCCGGAAGTCGAAGTTATAACCCGTGTTGTCCAGACTGGACAATGTGTACAATCGGACCAGCAGAGTGATGGAATTCGTCTCGCTGTAGTAGTGGGCCGGCGCCCAAGATGTGCCGCACCAGCCACCTGACACAGCCGGTCTGTCCGATTCGGTTATGTGTAGGTCGCCGTCTGGACAGCCGGCGTTCGTGTACGAAGCAAACCGCCCGATTGTGAAACTGTCTAAAGTCACCTGCGTGAAAAAACACATAATAATGTAAGCTAAAAAGTTTTCTATTGTTATACGGAAAAAATTGTTTTCTAACACTTAAGTATCAATATTTTAGAATTCAATGTACTTGTTCGGCTGACTTTTAAGGATTAGATAACGTTATTATAAGGCAACGCCGAACCTGCATAATATGTTAATATGTTTTATCGGTTTTGCAATAGAAACATGCAACATAGCCAATTTTTGTTCAATAGAATACAGTTTTTGATGATGTTAGCTATAATATTAAAGTGAATTGACCTATTATAAAATTTAAAGGTAGAATAATCTAGGTTAACTAAGTAACTTTAATTTTTTTTTTTTGAAACATAATTTTAAAACCAGTTAAAAATATGAAAATTAAAGTAAATATCGATTTAAAATTTAAATAAAGACCAATGAAATGTTCTAGTTAATATTCTTACTTTTAAATTTTATAATTGGTAAAATCACTGTAATATTTATTATAATATATCAATGCATTATGATCTACGTCTTTATGACAGAGATACATATTATTTAATATTTTTCGTACTATTTAATAGGTAGATGTATTGTTTCTTTATCATTTTAAATATTTGTTGTTATAAATTTAACTCGGGTACATTTTATGTAACCATGTAAATATTTAATGTTTTTTTTTTTTTTTTTTACTTATTTGTTTTAATAACCTACTTTATGTAAAGTATGTAATATGATCGTTTTCTATATTAACATCTTAATTAATTTAATTTTGCAAAATTATAAACATTTTAGTTTCAAACAGTAATTAACTAATCGTATAATTTATTAAAAAGGGTCAAAGTCTTTGAATAATTAATTAAAATAATATTATGATCAGGCGGCGTTATGAATAGGCATTTTAAGTACACTACTGCCATTTTCTGCTTACACATTGTCAAATAACAATATTATTTTATATTAAAATATTACATTATTAATATTTTGTATAAATAGGATTTTCAGGTAATACCTATAATATAATTGTAGGTAAATATCAATAAATAATAATAATAACTTACCAAAATATATCAAAGTATATTTTAAAAGTACATGTAAGGTGGTAATTAGTATTAGTATATATTTTAAGACAGCTGAATATAATTTTAAGTAAATGAAAATTAAATAATTAGCAATAATTTCTTTTAATGGAAATTGTATACAATAATTATTGTTAAAATAGTCTTTTCAAAACGTACGCAGCATTTAATCATTTTTGTTTTATCGAATATTATCATTAACTTTTTCGTTTAACAGTTATCTAAAAAACAATAATAAGCAAATGATGTTCTAAGTTAAAAATAAATTTATAGCTTATAAGGTATAGTGATGGAATATTTCTTAGAAAAACTCTGAAATTAACAATCCACATTCAACAACTACTTATCACCAGCTATATAAAATATTAACTACATCATCTACTATTTGGTTCAAAATTTGTTCATGATTATTGTTACAATCAAAGAGTTCATCAAATTTTAAAGAAAACATAATATCGTAATACATTTACTATTATTATTTATTTATATTTGTGTGTTTATTCGTAGATAAAATTCGGTAACCATTGTGCCAAAAAAAAAAAGAAAAAAAAAATCGTAATTTATCCAGACATTTAAGATAGAACCGTGGCCTAGATTCTCTCACTATTATATTATAATATATTATATAAGTAACGTATAGTCTAGAGTGGAATCCTAGGGGTTGGCTATAATAAAGAGAGACACAATCATTTTTTTTTTTTTTTTTGCTTTTTCTAGTTGAACCGTTAGAGTACTGCGATGTGTTTTCTTACTAAAAAAAAAAAAAAAAAACTTTAGCACACTTTATTGTCACTAAGTATGATTCGTACTGAAATTTAGAAGTTGGATTATATGTATAGGCAGTGCTGAGAAACTTTTCCTTCATTACCAGACTTTTGAAGAACTTTGCGAGATTTACGATGGGTTAATAATATCGGAACACGGGTTAACGGTAGTTAAAATATTCAGGTATATTTACATCAAAAATAATGTATATTGATCTAGAGAAAAATAAGCCGTTTAATATATTTAAACCAATATTTATTAGGATATAATAACTATTGTAACATATTAACTGCAAGTAAAAAAATTTTAAAATCTGAATTGAAAATATCGAATTATTTTTATTGCTTATAACAGTTATAACTATTAATATTTTCAATTCGTAGATCCAGTATGTTATACAGCGTATACCCATTATAAATGTATAACGTTACGTAATAATTCAAATTTAAATGTATATAGTTTACAAGCGATTCGGTTTTGATTCTGACAGTATTAACAAAAATTATTTAAATTACACGGCACTTAAAGTTTATATTTCATTAATAATGTGAAGCAACGTTTAGTAATGTAGAATACACAAAACCAATTTAATCGTTCATGCAAAAGTAAACCGTGTATGTATAAAATACACGCCATTTATACTCGCGATTTGGTACTCTTATAAATTGAAAATATGTTTTTACCAAACCTTAATCGTTTGAATTGAAAAAAAAAAAATTATAAAATGATTTTTACTTATGTTTTATTTGTGTAACAATATCGGTTAACCGAAAAAAAATACCCATCCGCACTGTTATCAACATTCAATGTTCAAAAAATGCAAATTCGCTCTTCCGAACAAATTATAATACAACATACATATGTATTTCATGTTCTCTTTCACAGAAGTGAAATTGGCACAGACCATTTTATTTTCTGGGACATTAACATTGATCGATATCACTACCGCACATAATTTAATTTACTTATACAGTTTTGTTCTTTTCACAAAGTTTTTATAAGTATAATTTTAAAATATTTTATCATTATATTAATTAATTAATTAACTGCTTATGCCATCCATTAATAATTAATTTAAGAACTTGAAATGTTTTAATACTAAACAATTTATTTATTGACTTTTGCCTTTAATTTTCACAAATAGTAATCAAAAGTTTAAATTAAAAATTAAGTTGACATCTTTAATAAGTTGATTAAAAATCAATTGACAACTTTCTAAGCTGTTTTCTACTTATTCACTTCGTTTTTTTTTTTTTTTTTGTAAAAAAAATATATTGGTGTATTAAGTTTAAAAGCAATTTAATAATAAATCATTCTATGAGAAAAATGAATATGGGTTAAGTTCAGTTACCGCCTGTCGACATTTATTCAATATTTTTCAACCGATGTCCACAATTTATTCTCATATTTAAATAACTATTGAAAAAATTAAAGCTAGCCTCAGAATATGTATCACTGATTTTGCAATTATTCATATTAAATTTAAATTAATATTTTTATAAAATCAATCTTAGCAAAATAAACAATTGGTACCTACTATTTCACTGTATTTTATTAAGTATTAACAATAGTATTATATAGGTTTCGTATTCAGTATTTTTATAAATTTCGAAAGTAATTTATGCAAATTTATTGTTCAATTAAATATTGATGAAATAAAATTAATTCACTAAAAATGTTGGAGTATAGATGTGATCTTTGAACAAAAAAAAGTTGTATTTTATTATGCACTATTGAAACGGTGATTTTTCTAGAAATAACTACCCATTAAAATAATAAATTGTTTCTATTCAAATACGAAAAAAACTTTATCACAAATATTAAAATGTACAACACTTTAACCTTGCACAAGAAAAAGTTATATACACGAGTATACATATTTTTCTTAATTGATTGATTTAATAGAATAGTTGTCATTTATATCATGCATGTTTATTGTTTGTCTTTAATAAACTAAAGTTAATATTATATAATAATATACTTGAAAGTTCACAGTTATATAAAATAACTAAATATGATAAAATTTATATAAATACAAAAATTATTTAATAGTTTTCTATGATTATTGTTTGAGATAAACCACATTTAATACACAATTCAAACTTTAAATCGATAACGAATGTTAATAGTTAAATAGATTATGATCTTTTAACATAATACGTTCTTTAACGACAAAATAATAATTGCTCAGTGTCACATGAGTAAATAAGTCGGTTTTCATTTTTGATGATGTTCAAACAACTTTTTGCCATTTATCGTTTAATTGTTCGTATTCTTTTGAGAAGTAAATAAACTTATTAAAACGATAAATGCGTATAGCCTATTAGTTATTCAATTATTTGCTAAATAATATAGTAAATGCAGCATTTAAGCAATCTAATTTACGTTACTGCTTCAGAATAACTAAACATGTAATGTGTTTCGGTAATTGGGTAACCGAGTTTTGTATATAATATTGATATCACTTTGTTTTCTAGCATAGTAAATACAATTCATATAACACATAAATATTATTATTCAATCCACAATATTTGAATTTTCTGTTATAAAAGTAAAATTTATCCACTTTATCTCTTCAAGTGGATTTATAGCTGAATTGAATAACTTATAGTACTGCCATTGACATTATGCAAAAATATTATTTATTCCAAGGGTAATACTTGAATAATTTTAAATTAACATAATCTACATGATTTAATATTTATTTTGTTAATACTTATTTCCATTTAGATGGTAAAAGTTTTTCTTCGAAATTATTGCAGTATTAACCCACCTTTGGAATTACATTTATTAATTATTAATTTATAAATAATAGTATATAAACACTAAATTTATAAATTATAACATAAAACAATAAACGACAATATTATTATAATTTATAAATATAAAAGCGTTATAACTTTAGAATAAATAGTATTTAAGGAGTTACTTAAATTTTAAATTGTAGATCATCCCTAAAGTGTACTTCAGATAATTTAATATGGAAAGAATTCGAAAAATTTAACTAGCTCCACTTAATACAATATACTAATTCTTTAGAATTTTTAACAGCTAGTATATCATTTACGTTTCAATATTTTTACGCTGGATAATTCTTTTGAAAGTATACATTCAAAATTTCAAATCATTTTTGATATATTTTTTTGTAGCTTATTTCAAATTCTTATACAACAAAAGATTAAAATAAAACTTTTTGTATTGTTTTTTATTGTTAAATTTTTTTTTAATTAGAACATTATAATGACCGCATTTAAAGATTAGATGAAAAAATAGTAAACTTAAACTAACCAAACTTATAAGTCCTCTCTCTATTTAGCTCATTTAAATTTTAAATATTACCTAATAATAATTACTAATTCTTGTTAAAAATGCAAAGTTCATACATTGAAGTTTTTAGAACCGTATTCTGGTGTCGTATGAAAAATAAAACTTAAAAATATGATGAAATTAAACAGTAAAAATATTTATTTTTTTTTTCAAAAATTTTAATACTTATTGAAAAAATAAATGTTTATTAAAAGAATCACTCTACATATTAAATATCAAACAGGGAATTTTGATCTCCTTATTTAAATTATATACGAAATTCTAGTGTATCTGACTGTGCTATATTAAATTAATATTTACTAAATTTTCTCACCTGTATTAGATCTCCTAGATGATGACCTGGTGCGACGAGCTTTATGAAGCAGATGAATGGCAATTTGTCGGGTTTCGGACGATGTAATTCGAATTCGTACGTTTTTCCGACATCGCCGTAATAAGTTCTATTGCACGCTGTAAAACAGACATTTACTGTAGTTAATACTCTATAACAATTGAAATGAATCGTTTCCCGGGTAGGTAATAGTTACTATAGATAGTCTAAACCTTCGTCGCTGTATAATTATAAATCAAAACTTTGTCAGTATCGCTTTTTAGGAAAACTATTTAGCGTATTACAGAAAACTACACGCACGGTAATATGTATCGTTCATTATAGTTCTTACTGCCGCTGACGCGTAACAGAATAATAAAGTTTACAAGCTAAAGTAGTTATAATTTTTGTAGAGGAAAAGCGGTGAACGCAATTTATATTTCGGACAATACACAGTAGACTCGATGTTATATTTTCGGAACAATGTTTCGGTTTCGTGCATGTCATGCAACAGCGACTTAATCTCGTTTAACAAACAGAAGAGAGCCGGGTAAAATAAAACCGTCATCGCTTATAATATACGACTGACAGTCCAATGGAATATATTTCAACAAATTTGCGCGTACAAATCATCATTTGAACTGAAAACTTTAGAGTATCGTTCAATCGTTTGAGATAAATATGTTTATTTCCCCAAAATTTCCAACGGCAGAATTGTATCGTACACAGGTGTGTACAGCACCAACACCACAAACACGCCATCGCGTTCGATTATCTATTGAAATGTATTAGAGGAGAAAAAAATCCATTTCAACCATAATAATCGTTTCAATATATATTGTAAGTGTAGACGGTTATCGACTCGAAACTGTTTTCCCTTCGAATGCGCACAATTATTATTAATAACAAATTGTAGGCAGGTACGCACGATTTAAAAAAAAAATAAAAGCGAAAAGTTTGCGAGTGGTTTTACAACCGAGAACAGCGGTAATAGTACACGCAGAGTTGCACAATTGTGTAATATTTAAATTGATGTATTCACAGAACAGTGAAGTCACGGTGATGGCGGCGGCTGACAAGTTCATATTACAGTACCTAGGTAGTACCTTTACGTTTCACCAAATCGCTGTCTAGAATAAAGTAATTGGTCGCGCAATGCTCGTCGTTTGTATTTTATAAAGATAGCGCGCTGGCGTAAAACGTATAGGAGCATATAATGTTATATCTGGCTTCGGGAAATAAAACCATTTCTGAATAGACCGCAGGCGCTTTACATTTCAACATACGTAATAATATTGTAGCAATATTTATCCGCAAAACACTTTAATTTTCCCGTGATAAATTTATTGTCGCGATTGTACTTTAAGTAGCCATTAAAAGCATATAATTAAAAGAACTCACACGAATAAAAGCGTTATACATTCTTCAATTTATATGAACAAAATTTAAGGATGTACCCACAAACTAAACAGAGCCTCGTTACGAACCAAAGTCGTATTAACATATTAAATAGGCGCAGAACAATAAAATACCGCACATACCTACGGTGGTATACTTTTCACCAGACTGTGGGTTTGACGACGATTTACAAGCCATCCCGTCAAAAGGATTACAGCCGTTTGTCCGGATGTAATTTATTCATAAACCGTGGACGAATTATAATTTATAATTGCTTTATGTCACGACGACTGCCCACTCGAAAAATCATCAAATTATACTACCTACCTGCCTGATACAAGTGCGTGCGTTTTGTTGGCTCGCGAGTCGCGGGCCGGCCGTCGCCACCGCCGAAACTTAACCCTCACATAAAATTTGCATGGCAGGCATTATGCGAAAGTACGGTGAGAGCAGGTACGGCGTTTTAATGTATAGGACTGATGCAATCGTAGCGGTTAAAAATGTTAGTACTGCCGTCCCGCGCGACGCGATCTTTGGTCAAGTGAAATGTAGAGGTATCTTGTAATATTCGTACGTGTATTATAATATTTACTTGCACGCCACATCTAAGGCGTCCGCATTGCGGCTAGTGCGGTGCCAAAGGAAACCCGACGTTTTCTGCACCTCACGCGGTTACGGTTTAAACCAAGCGCTGTTGTATTAAAGTACGATAATATTACGATGCACAACACTAATGAATAACATATTTGTATGTAACTCAATATTCAAAACGTTTTTGACACGGTTAATTAGCATACACGCGTGATGCAGGATAACGTTTGCAGTGACACACGCATGTGGGGGTCAAGGTGGTTTTTATAGCACCTCCCTCTCATGTCACATGTTTGCAGCACACTCCTTCTGCGTTCATTTTGAACTAAACAATTCTAAATGCGTAAGATGTACATTAAAATATATTATTGAACGACAAATTGTTTTTCAATGCTCCTGCAGTATTGTCATAGTAAGTAATAAATAACTAAGTGCTGTAATGAAACTATGAAACTGGCAGAAATAGTATACACATAAGCAATGATTTATACGTTTTGTCGTATGCCCTAGTTAATATACTCTATTCCTTTGGTCGCGTCAGTACTCAGTAGCCAGCACTATAGTAACATAATTTTTTCTTAATGTACTCAAATAAATATGTTCAATATATTCTAACAGAACGTTTGAAAAATGAAAAACCTTTTTTTTTAAAAAAAATTAAACTAAATATGCAGTTACTAACTGAATAAAACTGTGTTTAAAAATTGTTCGAGGGTAAGGGAGCCTCCGCGCGAGCCATTTAAGAGAAAAGATTGTAACACTCCCATGAGTCCCATAGTCTAAATTGAATGTGCTTCTCCATGGACGTCTGGCGTGTAGTATGGTATATAGCAGAGACGTGGTGACCACCTCAGTCGCAGAAGAGATACAATTTTTGTGAAAGCTACGTAGGTACACACGGTCGTTTGGTGTCGGATTTCCGTCTGAACATCGTGAAAAAGAAGCTCATAGTCGATGAATTTTATTTATTGAGACTGTAAAAATCGAAGTGTTTATTACTATTATTATTATTACATTTTTTTTTATCACTCGTGTTCCTCACTAGAGGGCTATAATATTGTACATATATACCACTGCAATACGCGTAAAATAAGATTTATACCTACTTATAACTCTACACACATAATATGGCAACTATAGTACCCTACACAGTTGCATCACATCAGCATCAGTAGAAGTAAACTGCACCAGCGTAGGATTATACAAAACTACACGTAAACGTACGATAATTGCGAAGCCAAAGGGTCTTGTACCAGTGGGTCGCGTACAAGTTGCCCTTCTAACCGTCATGATGGGTGCATATATACATATATTATGCATGAAATAGAACTGTATGGAACGCTAGTACAGGTACGATATACGATTTGGATGGGTTATTTGAGTGTATATACGTGACTTAACCAGCGGCGGTGTAAACCGATTATAATGGGGGTAAAGCACCTTTCATGTTTCCGGATAATAATAATAATAATAATAATAATAATAATAGTAATAATATAGAAAACAAAATATTATATGTATATTCATTTTATATAGGTGTATACATCAGACACGGAAATATTATATAAATTATTACCGGGTAAAAAATCACCATACACACACACGTGTGTGTGCGCGCGCGCGCGCGTCTCAGACGGATTTAACGTGATTTGAAATCGTATATACGCAGATACGTAGACATATAATATTACAATATAAAATGGCTTATAAACAAGGCATATCTACAGTATAGGTATACATATACGGCGATATCCATCCGCGTATACGTATATACTGACCACATGGTAATATGACGTGATTGATGATGACGTGGTCGACTGAACGTATGATAGGTACGCGGTTTGTGCCAGGACGGCAATTTTATATTATTATTATTATTATTATTATCATTATCATTATTATTATTGAAGCGTCGAGTGTCCTGGAGTGGAGTTAGCTCCTATATAATCGATCGTCCATACGCGTGGCGTTAATTGAATTATGTTATTGCCGCCGCCAGTGCGCGGGTGATCGGTTGTAGTGTGAGTTGTAAACACACACACACACACACACATATACGTATATATACATATATTAATGAACACTAGGAAACGTTTCATACCGTCGAGGTATATACTATAGGCGTTGTCAGACTTGTAAATTAGACACATGTACGTACGCGCGAAACAATTACACGATTGCAGTGATGCGTGCGTATTGCGTTATATCGTATAATATATATATATATATATATAATAATAAAATCTGTGATACGTATATGTGTGTATAGCAGATTTCATTAATGACAGCAGTACATTACACTGAGATATGCAATTATCGTTTGTATCGCTGTAATAAGAGTACGAAGGATTGCTAGGCACCTATCCCAAAATTCAGAGCACGCGTCGCTTTCCGTCAATCCATTCACGACGTTAATAGTTCACAAATTAATGTACGCACATGACTTAGATTCTCTATTATTTTTTAAAACCCTTTTCGCTTTTTATTTCACTTTTAGACATAATATGTTTTACGTTTTTTTTACAGGCATCGAAACGTTTTAACCAATATAGTATTCAAGAAATGTATGATACAATATTTTGCTCTTATTGTCTACTACACTCTCTTCCACGTCTAACAATTTTTAAACAAATTCTAATGGACCACCACATTGCAAATTATAGAAAATGTATATTTTCAATAGTTCGGAATATCTGACTTGAGTGGGGAGATCGACCTCAAGCACACGATAAAAAGCATACAAAAAAAATGATAGCGGATATATTTAAATATAGATTAAATATTATACAAGTGACAGATAAATAATATTATTATTCGTCCTGAAAAAACAAAGTGTAAACTTAAATAAATAAACAATAAAATATGGCCAACAAATTCAGAAAAGTTTGTTTTGGATTTTTATATATGTATATGTATATATATATATATATACGTATATAAAAAACAAACGTGAGAGAATTTTTAGCCACTCCGTGACAATATTATTTTTACAACAAATATATGCAAATAATGCTTTACATGTTAATCTATCCTCTGGTTATAACTATTGATGTTTCAGGATTTACATAATTTCCTCCCCCCCATCTGGTCATCCATTACGCATGCAGTACATAATATTTTGAAAGGTGTGGTTTTCGCGTCTACATTCACA